GTCCTTCACTCTGTCTCTCAGTCTCTCCTGTATGAGTCATTCACACTGTCTCTCAGTATGTCCTATATGAGTCCTTCACTCTGTCTCTCAGTCTGTCTGGTATGAATACTTCACTCTGTCTCTTAGTCTCTCCTGCATGAGTCTTTCACTCTGTCTCTCAGTCTGTCATGTATGAGTTCTTCACTCTGTCTCTCAGTCTGTCCTGTATGAGTCCTTCACTATATTTTCAGTCTGTCCTGTGATAGTCCATCACTCTGTCTCTTAGTCTGTACTCGATTAACCCATTACTCTATGATTGTCTCTGTCTGTCCTTTATGAGTCCTTAACTCTGTCTCTCAGTCTGTCCTATATGAGTCCTTCACTCTGTCTCTCAGTCTGTCCTGTATGAATCCTTCACTCTGTCTCTCAGTCTGTCCTGTATGAGGCCTTCACTCTGTCTCTCAGTCTCTCCTGTATGAGTCCTTCACTCTGTCTCTCAGTCTGTCCTGTATGAGGCCTTCACTCTGTCTCTCAGTCTCTCCTGTATGAGTCATTCACTCCGTCTCTCAGTCTGTCCTGCATGAGTCCTTCACTCTGTCTCTATCTGTCATGTATGAGTCCTTCACTCTGTATGTCCTATATGAGTTCTTCACTCAGTCTCTAAGTCTGTCCTGTGTGAATCATTCACTCTATCTCTCAGTCTGTCCTGTATGAGTCCTTCACTCTGTCTCTCAGTCTGTAACGTATGAGTCCTTCACTCTGTCTCTTAATCTGTCATGTATGAGTCCTTCACTCTGTCTCTCAGTCTGTCTAGTATGAATCCTTCACTCTGTCTCTCAGCCTGTACTTTATGAGGCACTCACTCTGTCTCAGTCTGCCCTTTATGAGTCCTTCACTCAGGCTCAGTTTGTCCAGTTTGAGTACTTCACTCTGTCTCTCATTCTGTCCTGTATGAGTCCTTCACTCTGTCTCGCTGTTGGTTCTCTATGAGTTCATCACTCTTTGAGTGTCTTTAAGTCAGTACTGTTTGAGGTATTCACTCTGTGTCTCAGTCTGTCCTGTATGAGTCATTCACTCTATCTCTTGATCTGTCATGTATGAGTCCTTCACTCTCTCTCTCAGTCTGTACTGTATGAGTCCTTCACTCTGTCTCTCAATCTATATTGTAAGAATTTCACTTTGTCTTCAGTCTGTCCTGTATGAGTCCTTCACACTGTCTTTCAGTCTGTGCTGTGTGAGTCCTTCACTCTGTCTCTCAGTCTGTCTGGTATGAATCATTCACTCTGAATCTTAGTCTCTCCTGCATGAGTCCTTCACTCTGTCTGTCCTGTATGAGTCCTTCACTTAGTCTCTAAGTATGTCCTGTGTGAGTCCTTCACTGTCTCTCTCAGTCTGTACTGTATGAGTCATTCACTCTGTATCTCAATCTATATTGTAAGAATTTCACTCTGTCTTCAGTCTGTACTGTGTGAGTCCTTCACTCTGTCTCTCAGTCTGTCTGGTATGAATCGTTCACTCTGTATCTTATTCTGTCCTGTGTGAGTCCTTCACTCTGTCTCTCAGTCTGTAACGTATGATTCATTCACTCTGTCTCTTAATCTGTCATGTATGAGTCCTTCACTCTGTCTCTCAGTCTGTCTAGTATGAATCCTTCACTCTGTATCTTATTCTGTCCTGCATGAGTCCTTCACTCTGTCTCTCAGTCTATCCTGTATGAGTCCTTCACTCTGTCTCTCAGTCTGTAACGTATGAGTCCTTCACTCTGTCTTAATCGGTATGTAACTGAGTTAACCTTCACTCTGTCTCAGTCTGTACCGATTAACCCATTACTCTATGATTGTCTCTCAGTCTGTTCTGTTTGAGTCCTTCACTCTGTCTCTCAGTCTCTCCAGTATGAGTACTTTACTCTGTCTCTCAGTCTGTCCTGTGTGAGTCCTTCAATCTGTCTCTCAGTCTCTCCTGTATGAGTCATTCACTCTGTCTCTCAGTCTGTCCTATATGAGTCCTTCACTCTGTCTCTCAGTCTGTCCGGTATGAATCCTTCACTCTATGAAATCTTAGTCTTCTCTGCATGAGTCCTTCCAATATGTTCCTCAGTCTGTTCCTGGCATGAGTTTTCGCCTTCTGTCTCTATTGTCATGTATGATCTTCTTAACCCTATGGCTCTGTTGCCTGTATGTAGTCCTTCACTCGTCCTTCAAAGTCTGTCCTGTTGTGAAGTCCCTTCACTCTGTCTCTCAGTCTGGTTCCTGTATGAGTCCCCTTCACTCTGTCCTCTCAGTTTGTAACGTATGAGTCCTTCACTCTGTCTCTTAATCTGTCCTGCATGAGTCCTTCACTCTGTCTCTCAGTCTGTCTAGTATGAATCCTTCACTCTGTCTCTCAGCCTGTACTTTATGAGGCACTCACTCTGTCTCTCAGTCTGCCCTGTATGAGTCCTTCACTCTGTCTCTCATTCTGTCCTGTATGAGTCCTTCACTCTGTCTCTCTGTCAGTTCTCTATGAGTTCATCACTCTTTGAGTGTTTCTAAGTCTGTACTTTTTAAGTCTTTCACTCTGTGTCTCAGTCTATCCTGTTTGAGTCATTCACTCTCTCTCTCAATCTGTCCTGTATGAGTCCTTCACTCTCTCTCTCAGTCTGTACTGTATGAGTCCTTCACTCTGTCTCTCAATCTATATTGTAAGAATTTCACTATGTCTTCAGTCTGTCCTTATGAGTGCTTCACTCTGTCTCTCAGTCTGTCCGCTATGAATCCTTCACATCTGAATCTTAGTCTGTCCTGCATGAGTCCTTCACTCTGTCTCTCAGTCTGTCATGTATGAGTCCTTCACTCTGTCTTTCAGTCTATGCTGTGTGAGTCCTTCACTCTGTCTCTCAGTCTGTGTGGTATGAATCCTTCACTCTGTATCTTATTCTGTCCTGCATGAGTCCTTCACTCTGTTTCTCAGTCTGTACTCGATTAACCCATTAGTCTGTGATTGTCTCTCAGTCTGTTGTGTTTGAGTTCGCCACTCTGTCGCTCAGTCTCTCCAGTAAAAGTCCTTCACTCTGTCTCTTAGTCTGTACTGTATGAGACCTTCACTCTGTCTCTCAGTCTGTCCGGTATTATTCCTTCACTCTGAATCTTAGTCTCTCCTGCATGAGTATTTCACTATGTCTCTCAGTCTGTCCTGCATGAGTCCTTCACTCTGTCTCAATCTGTCATGTATGAGTTCTTCACTCTGTCTGTCCTGTATGAGTCCTTCACTCAGTCTCTAAGTCTGTCCTGTGTGAGTCCTTCACTCTATCTCTTAATCTGTCCTGTATGAGTCCTTCACTCTGTCTCTCAGTCTGTCCTGTATGAGTCCTTCACTCTGTCTCTTAATCTGTCCTGTATGAGTCCTTCACTCTGTCTCTCAGTCTGTCTAGTATGAATCCTTCACTCTGTCTCTCAGCCTGTACTTTATGAGGCACTCGCTCTGTCTCAGTCTGCCCTGTATGAGTCCTTCACTCTCTCTCTCATTCTGTCCTGTATGAGTCCTTCACTCTGTCTCTCTGTCGGTTCTCTATGAGTTCATCACTCTTTGAGTGTCTCTAAGTCTGTACTGTTTAAGTCCTTCACTCTGTGTCTCAGTCTGTCCTGTATGAGTCATTCACTCTGTCTCTCAATCTGTTATGTATGAGTCCTTCACTCTCTCTCTCAGTCTGTACTGTATGAGTCCTTCACTCTGTCTCTCAATCTATATTGTAAGAATTTCACTCTGTCTTCAGTCTGTCCTTTTTAGTTCTTCACTCTGTCTCTCAGTCTCTCCTGCATGAGTCCTTCACTCTGTCTCTCTGTCTGTCATGTATGAGTCCTTCACTCTGTCTTTCAGTCTGTGCTGTGTGAGTCCTTCACTCTGTCTCTCAGTCTGTCTGGTATGAATCCTTCACTCTGTATCTTATTCTGTCCTGCATGAGTCCTTCACTCTGTCTCTCAGTCTGTACTCGATTAACCCATTACTCTGTGATTGTCTTTCAGTCTGTCCTGTATGAGTCCTTCAGTCTGTCTCTCAGTCTGTCCTGTATGAGTCCTTCACTCTGTCACTCTGTCTATATTGTATTGGTTCTTCACTCTGTCTCAGTCTGTCCTGTATGAGTCCTTCACTCTGTCTCTTAGTCTGTTCTGTATTAGTCCTTCACTCTGTCTCTCAGTCTGTCTTGTATGAGTCCTTCACTCTGTCTCTCAGTCTGTACACTATGATTCCTTCACATTGTCTCTCAGTCTGAACTTTATGAGTTCTTCACTTTGTCTCCAGTCTGTCCTGTATGAGTCCTTAACTCTGTCTCTCAGTCTGTCCTGTATGAGTCCTTCAGTCTGTCTCTCAGTCTGTCCTGTATGAGTCCTTCACTCTGTCTCTCAGTCTGTCCTGTATGAGTCCTTCACTCTGTCTCTCAGTCTCTCCTGTATGAGTCATTCACTATGTCTCTCAGTCTGTCCTATATGAGTCCTTCACTCTGTCTCTCAGTCTGTCCGGTATGATTCCTTCACTCTGAATCTTAGTCTCTCCTGCATGAGTCCTTCAATCTGTCTCTCAGTCTGTCCTGAATGAGTCCTTCACTCTGTCTCTATCTGTCATGTATGAGTCCTTCACTCAGTCTCTAAGTCTGTCCTGTGTGAGTCCTTTACTCTATCTATCAGTCTGTCCTGTATGAGTCCTTCACTCTGTCTCTCAGTCTGTCCTGTATGAGTCCTTCACTCTGTCTCTCAGTCTGTAACGTATGAGTCTTTCACTCTGTCTCTTAATCTGTCATGTATGAGTCCTTCACTCTGTCTCTCAGTCTGTCTAGTATGAATTCTTCACTCTGTCTCTCAGCCTGTACTTTATGAGGCACTCACTCTGTCTCAGTCTGTCCTGTATGAGTCCTTCACTCTGTCTCTCTGTCGGTTCTCTATGAGTTCATCACTTTTTGAGTGTCTCTAAGTCTGTACTGTTTAAGTCCTTCACTCTGTGTCTCAGTCTGTCCTGTATGAGTCATTCACTCTGTCTCTCAATCTGTCATGTATGAGTCCTTCACTCTCTCTCAGCCTGTACTGTATGAGTCCTTCACTCTGTCTCTCAATCTATATTGTAAGAATGTCACTCTGTCTTCAGTCTGTCCTTATGAGTGCTTCAATTTGTCTCTCAGTCTGTCCGCTATGAATCCTTCACATCTGAATCTTAGTCTGTCCTGCATGAGTCCTTCACTCTCTCTCTCAGCCTGTATTGTATGAGTCCTTCACTCTGTCTCTCAATCTATATTGTAAGAATGTCACTCTGTCTTCAGTCTGTCCTTATGAGTGCTTCAATTTGTCTCTCAGTCGGTCCGCTATGAATCCTTCACATCTGAATCTTAGTCTGTCCTGCATGAGTCCTTCACTCTGTCTCTTTTCTGTCCTGCATGTGTCCTTCACTCTGTATCTCAGTCTGTACTCGATTAACCCATTACTCTGTGATTGTCTCTCAGTCTGTTCTGTTTGAGTTCTTCACTCTGTCGCTCAGTGTCTCAAGTACGAGTCCTTCACTCTGTCTCTCAGTCTGTAGTGGTACTGTATGAGACCTTCACTCTGACTCTCATTCTGTCCAGTATGAGTCCTTCACTCTGTCTCTATCTGTCATGTATGAGTTCTTCACTCTGTCTGTCCTGTATGAGTCCTTCACTCAGTGTCTAAGTCTGTCCTGTGTGAGTCCTTCACTCTATCTCTCAGTCTGTCCTGTATGAGTCCTTCACGCTGTCTCTTAATCTGTCCTGTATGAGTCCTTCACTCTGTCTCTCAGTCTGTCTAGTATGAATCCTTCGCTCTGTATCTCAGTCTGTCCTGTATGAGTCATTCACTCTGACTCTCAATCTGTTATGTATGAGTCCTTCACTCTCTCTCTCAGTCTGTCCTGTATGAGTCATTCACTCTGACTCTCAATCTGTTATGTAAGAATTTCACTCTGTCTTCAGTCTGTCCTTATGAGTGCTTCACTCTGTCTCTCAGTCTTTCCGCTATGAATCCTTCACATCTGAATCTTAGTCTGTCCTGCATGAGTCCTTCACTCTGTCTCTCAGTCTGTCATGTATGAGTCCTTCACTCTGTCTTTCAGTCTATGCTGTGTGAGTCCTTCACTCTGTCTCTCAGTCTGTCTGGTATGAATCCTTCACTCTGTATCTTATTCTGTCCTGCATGAGTCCTTCACTCTGTCTCTCAGTCTGTACTCGATTAACCCATTACTCTGTGATTGTCTCTCAGTCTGTTCTGTTTGAGTTCTTCACTCTGTTGCTCAGTCTCTCCGGTACGAGTCCTTCACTCTGTCTCTCAGTCTGTACTGTATGAGTCCTTCACTCTGTTTCTCAGTCTGTCCTTTATGAGTCCTTCACTCTGTCGCTCTGTCTATATTGTATTGGTTCTTCACTCTGTCTCAGTCTGTCCTGTATGAGTCCTTCACTCTGTCTCTTAGTCTGCTCTGTAATAGTCCTTCACTCTGTCTCTCAGTCTGTCCTGTATTAGTTCTTCACTTTGTCTCTCAGTCTGTCCTGTATAAGTCCTTCACTCTGTCTCTCAGTCTGTACACTATGAGTCATTCACTCTGTCTCTCAGTCTGTCTTTTATGAGTCCTTAACTCTGTCTCTCAGTCTGTACACTATGAGTCATTCACTCTGTCTCTCAGTCTGTCTTTTATGAGTCCTTCACTCAGTCTCTCAGTCTGTCCTGTATGAGTCCTTCATTCTGTCTCTCAGTCTGTCCTGTATGAGTCCTTCACTCTGACTCTCAGTCTCTCCTGTATGAGTCCTTCACTCTGTCTCTCAGTCTGTACACTATGAGTCCTTCACTCTGTCTCTCAGTCTGTCTTTTATGAGTCCTTAACTCTGTCTCTCAGTCTGTCCTGTATGAGTGCTTCACTCTGTCTCTCAGTCTTTCCTGTAGGAGTCCTTCACTCTGTCTCAAAAACTGTACTGTATTAGTCCTTCACTCAGTCTCTCAGTCTGTCCTGTATGAGTCCTTCATTCTGTCTCTCAGTCTGTCCTGTATGAGTCCTTCACTCTGACTCTCAGTCTCTCCTGTATGAGTCATTCACTCTGTCTCTCAGTCTGTCCTAAATGAGTCCTTCACTCTGTCTCTCAGTCTGACCTGTATGTGTCCTTCACTCTGTCTTAAACTGTACTGTATTAGTCCTTCACTCTGTATCTGAGTCTGTCCAGTATGAGTCTCTCAGTCTTTCCTGTATGAGTCCTTCACTCTGTCTCTCAGTCTATCCTCTATGTGTACTTCACTCTGTCTCTCTATCTGTCATGTATGAGTCCTTCACTCTGTCTCTCAGTCCTTATTGTAAGAGTTTTATTCTGTCTTTCAGTATGTCCTGTATGAGTCCTTCACTCTGTCTCTCACTCTGTCCGGTATCACTCCTTCACTCTGTATCTTAGTGTGTCCTGCATGAGTCCTTCACTTTGTCTCTCAGTCTGTCCTGTATGAGTCCTTCACTCTATCTTTCAGTCTGTCTAGTATGTGTCCTTCACTCTGTCTCGCAGTCTGTCAAGTATGCGTCTTTCACTCTGTCTCGCAGTCTGTACTGTATGATTCCTTCACTCTGTGAGTGTCTCTCAGTCTCTACTTAGTGAGTCCTTCACTCTGTGAGTTTCACTCAGTCTGTACTTTTTGAGTCCTTCACTCTGAGTGTCTCTCATTCTGTACTGTATGAGTCCATCACTCTCTCAGTCTGTACTGTTAGAGTCCTTCACTCTGTGAGTGTCTTCCAGTCAATGCTGTATGAGTCCTTCACTCTGTGAGTCTCTCTCAGTCTGTACTGTATGAGTCCTTCACTCTGTGAGTGTCTCTCAGTATGTACTGTATGAGTCCTTCACTCTGTGAGTCTCTCTCAGTCTGTACTGTTTGAGGACTTCACTCTGTGAGTGTCTCTCAGTCTGTATTGTATGAGTTCTTCACTCTGTCTCCGCTGTACGAGTCCTTCACTCTGTGAGTGTCGCTCAGTCTTTACTGTATGAGTCCTTCACTCTGTGAGTGTCTCTGAGCTGAGATTTAGACGTGTGTTTGCTATTCTTCACTACAATGGATCAATGAATAACAGTAATTCCACGGTTATGTCTTGATTTTAAGTAATTTAATGTAAAATAATATAAAAACGTCATGAATAACTTTGCATATATCTACGGTACACAAACAAAAGCCTAAGAAGTGTTGAGGTTTGAATAATTGCTGTGATGAATCCTCAGAGATAAGACCAGGTATTATTTCTCATCCAGCCGGCGGAGGTTCATCTTCTGCTCATGATAAAACTAACGCTGACATATGCCAATGGACGCCACACTCCTGTTTCCCAATATGCATTGCAGTAGCGCTGTACGGTGAAATGAATCTCTGTCCGTCAGTCTGTTGTCCCGCTCCCCTAACTCACCACACCTCCTAGAACAATATATATTAATTCAGTCAGATCATAATCATCACACATTCCATTATTTGTGAACCCAAAACCATAATGCATTGCACTGACAGGCCATATATTCCAACCAATATGTATTTGTAATAATGGCAGCAGTGTCTCTCTCTGTCAGGCAGGCAGCAGACAGGCGGAGAGGAGAGGAGAGGGAAAAGAGCATGGCGGAGCGCCAGAGACTGTTGAAAGCTACTGATGTATTAAGGTTGAGCTACTTAAAAGTCACCTGTTTTTTTCATGTCTTCAGTCCATATATATATACAGACATGTATATATCCAGTATTGTTGAAATACACAATATGTTCCTGTGTGTTCCTGTATTGTCCCTGTTCTATATGCCAAGGTCTGTTCCATCACTAAACGTAGCCTACCTAAAGCACTGTACAATCTGTAACACAGGTTTTATAGAAGTCCCGTTTGAATATGCTGATGAAGCCTTCACCTCTTAGCCACACTTGGAACCAGGCTTCAGTTTGGGAACAAGGCATCAGTTTGGGAACCACGCATCAGTTTGGGAACCAAGCATCAGTTTGGGAACAAGGCATCAGTTTAGAACCAGGCATCAGTTTGGCAACCAGGCATCAGTTTGGGAACCTGGCATCAGTATGGAACCAGGCATCAGTTTGGAACCTGGCATCAGTTAGGGAACCAGACACCAGTTTAAGAACCTGGCATCAGTTTGGGAACCAGGCATCAGTTTGGGAACCAGGCATCCGTTTGGGAACCAGGCATCAGTTTGGGAACAAGGCATCATTTTGGGAACCAGGCATCAGTTTGGAGCCAGGCATCAGTTTGGGAACCAGGCATCAGTTAGGGAACCAGGCATCAGTTTGGGAACCAGGCATCAGTTTGGGAACCAGGCATCAGTTTGGGAACCAAGCATCAGTTTGGGAACAAGGCATCAGTTTAGAACCAGGCATCAGTTTGGCAACCAGGCATCAGTTTGGGAACCTGGCATCAGTATGGAACCAGGCATCAGTTTGGAACCTGGCATCAGTTAGGGAACCAGGCACCAGTTTAAGAACCTGGCATCAGTTTGGGAACCAGGCATCAGTTTGGGAACAGGCATCAGTTGGGAACAAGGCATCATTTTGGGAACCAGGCATCAGTTTGGAACCAGGCATCAGTTTGGGAACCAGGCATCAGTTAGGGAACCAGGCATCAGTTTGGGAACCAGGCATCAGTTAGGGAACCAGGCATCAGTTTGGGAACCAGGCATCAGTTTGGGAACAAGGCATCAGTTTGGGAACCAGGCATCATTTTGGGAACCAGGCATCAGTTTGGAACCAGTTATCAGTTTGGAACCAGGCATCAGTTTGGAACCAGGCTTTAGTTTGGGAACCAGGCATCAGTTTGGGAACCAGGCATCAGTTTGGGAACCAAACATTAGTTTGGGAACCAGGCATTAGTTTGGGAACCAGGCATCAGTTTGGGAACAAGGCATCAGTTTGGGAACCAGGCATCAGTTTGGAGCCAGGCATCAGTTTGGGAACCAGTCATCAGTTTGGAACAAGGCATCAGTTTGGGAACAAGGCATCAGTTAGGGAACCAGGCATCAGTTTGGGAACCAGGCATCAGATGGTCATACCAAGGGGCCTGGGTTTCTACTAAGATAACATATGGAATTGTTTTAAGATGGTCTTAACAAGGGGCCTGGGCTTGGGTTTCTACTAAGATAACATATGGCATTGTTTTAAGATGGTCATGCCAAGGACCTGGGCCTGGGTTTCTACAAAGATAACATATGGAATTGTTTAAAGATGGTCATACCAAGGATAATTTAACTATTTGATTTGAATTTGAAGGACCCCTGTAAGCATTCCCCAAAACTTAGTATTGATTAAACATTACATTCGTCGAAAAATAAATCAAAAGTAAGTATGTTTTGAAGTGTCTGTCCTATATCTTTTTTTACCCATATTTAACCCAGTTTTAGTATAGAGAATAGAGTGCCATTTGGAACGTACCTTCTCTCTCTCTCTCTCTCGCTACTCAGCTCCTAGCTGCTCGCTTCTCGCTCTCTTATCTCATTTCCTCTCTTTAGCTCGCTCTCTCTCTTATGCTCTTCTTCTCTCTCGCTTCTTTCGCTCTATGACCCCACCAGGCTCTAGGCCGGGATGGGGGGGGTAAGATGAACATACATAATTTCTGGACATTACACTAAATTATACTCTTAAATTAGATATTTCACTTTACTTGTGTTCCTCGATTGGTGGACCATGTTTTATAAACAGGTTAGTCTCTCCTGGTTTCTTTGAGTTGTTCTGTCCGTGTGTGCAGTGTGTTTTACAATATATTTCTGTAGTGAGCGTTATGATGTGGTTCCCATGCCGGAGACCCAGCATCTGCAGCAACGCAGTGTTGCCCAGAAATACTGACTATTTCCTGTTGTCTGGGATCCAGATGTCCTTGAAGAAAACAAGAAAACAGTCAGAGAGAAACCAATCAGTCTACGACGATTGGGGGACTGGATACTTATAACGGCTGTGGTTTTTTGATAAACCACTTATTATCTATGGGAACCAAATGGACAACAATGATACCTTCATCTGCTGTCTCTGCTGTTCCTCCTGCTGTCCTCCTGCTGTCCTCCTGCTGTTCTTCTGTTGTCCTTCTTCTGTCCTTCTGCTGTCCTCCTGCTATCCTCCTGCTGTCCTCCGGATGGTCCTCCTGCTTGTTCTATACTCTTCTGTTAGATAGAGGACAAAACAAGCCATTTCTATCATGCTTGCCATTTGTGAAAAAGACCACTTTAAAATGTGTAGCTATATCATGCAGAAATGCCTAGCTTTATACATTTCACTAAGTCTTCAAAGTTGTACATGTTTCTTCCATCCCCAACACAAACTCAGTAGTCAGTTCTAGTTGGCAGCCTGGGTAGCCCAACACTAACGTGGTTTACTGTGGGCGGACTGTTTCATAAGGATAATGCTAGAAGCCATACATTATGTATCAGTCAAGGCATGCTGCTTTGTCAAGTTCTTTATTCCAACTTCCTGGATATTGAAAGCACAGCGATATCTTGTCTAAGTTTATAGGGGGACCAGAGTCTGATCTTCTGATGTACTGGTCGACAATACCTGACCAGATGATTTCCCCGCTGGCTCTAAACACAGAATAGAAAAGAGTCTACTCTCATTGGGTTCCAGAACACTGGACTGAACTAATGTTTTAGACAGCAGGAAACAAAGAGAGAGGGGGTAGTAGACAGGAGTACTCCTCCAACACTGGATATGAGACTCCAACAGGATGTTGCGACTCCACAGGATTGATACCCAAACCGGATGATGATTACCCCCACAGGATATGCTACTACAACCAGGATAGGATCCTCCCACCAAGTATATACTTCCAACAGGTATGCTCTCAACAAGATATGAGACTCAAAGGCTATGATACTCCAACAGGATATGATACTCCAACAGGATATGATACTTCAAAAAGATATGATACTCCAACATGATATGATAACCCAAACAGGAGAGGTACCCAACAGGATGTACTTTATAACAGGATATGATCACCCCAATAGGATTCTGACACTGAAACAGCTATGATACTCCGGACAGATGCTACTCCAACAGGAGATGATATCCAACAGGATATGACGCCAAAGGATAGGATACCTCCAACAGGATATGAAACGACAACAGGCATGCTATTCCAAGATAGGATAGGAGTTACTAAACAGGCTACCTACTACAACAGGATTGATACTCCAACCGGCTTCTGATACCAACAGGATGTAATACTCTAACAAGGATATGAGACCTAACAGGATATGGACACTCCAACCGGATTATGAATCCTCCAACAGCATGAATTCCCCACAGGCGAATGATGCTCCAACAGATTAGGATACTTCAACAGGACCATGATACTTCACAAGATATGATACTCCAACAGGAAGATTGAGACTCAACAGGAATGAACTCCACAGGATTATGATACTCCAACAGGATGTAATACTTTAACAGGATGATACTCCTAAAGGAATGACACTTACAAAGGATTATGATACTCCAACAGCTGATGCCCCCAACAGGAGATGATACTCCAACAGGAAGGTACTCCCAAAGATATGATACTTAACAAGATATGATACTCCAAAAGGATATGATACCCAGCAGGCATGATAACTTCACAAGATATGACCTCCACAGGCCTGGTGAATGGGACCGGTTGAACCGGATATGTAATCCAACAGGCCTGGTGACGATCTGGTTGGAAAAGGGATATGATACTCCAACACCAGGATCTCCAAACAAGGCTGGTAAGGGATCTGGTTGAAGCGGATAGGATATCCAACAGCCATGGATACTCAACAGACGGTAAGGATTGGCTTATTTGAAAAGGATTGATAACGATACGTCCACAAGCCTGGTGACTGGTGATCTGGATCTGGTTGTTGAAAACAGGATACGATACTACAACAGGATATGATACTCAAACCGGATATGATACTCCAACAGGATGTAATACTCTAAACAGGATATGATACCCTAACAGGAAATGACACTACAACA